AGGTCCTGGCATATAAAATGCACACAGCACAGCAAACATCCAGAAACTTAGCTGCCCGGGCTTACGTTTTTGCTCCCATCTATGGCTTTGTTGTTTAACTGATAGCTGCAGTCCTTATTAGGGTTCCTAGCCCATCAAATTTCTACCTGTCAAGCCCAAAGAGTAAATTATACTTATTTTTATTTTATCCTCAGGACTAATTTTTCATCAGTATAGCAACTTTTCAACAAGTTAACAGTCTCTGGAGGAGATATCGGTCACCTGCTAACCAAGGCCATCGGGGGGAATAAACTATCAATCTGCTTGCACGAACCCCCTGGTGGGATGTTGTAACTGGAGGGCAGGTTAGATAACAAAATAGTGCATAGGATACCCAGTGGTGCCCATGACATCAGGACAGGCCCACAGGCATCAAGACACAGCCACGGGCTTCTGACTCACACACCTGCAAAAGGACATCAGGGCAGGCACAGAGCCCAAGAACACAAAAGGCCACTCTCCACAATGAAGTCAAGAACCATCCCCATCTACCTGGCACAGAATGATCTGATCTGTGCTCTTCAGACAGCACAGGCATGACCCTTGAGCAGGGCCAGCCTGAACCAGGAATGGGGACTTCATGAATTCCCGACCACTGAGGCTTCCCCAGATCCTGAGCTGGTATGTCACCACCCTTCCTTTCTTCCTGTGGCTCTGGAAGCCAGAGGGGTTGTGGCTCTGCAGATGAGGCCCAGGGAGGGAAGTACTGTGAGATCTGCAGCAGAGCCCAATCCCAATGCTCTGGGGTGCCAGGAGGGCGGGGGACAGGCAATCTGTTTATGGGGGGACTGAACAGCAGGCTCACACCTAGAGCACTGTGCTACCCAGCCTCCAGATGGACACTGCAGGCATTACCGACGTGAGCCAGAACCGGGAAGTACAGCTAGTGCCAGGGCCCCCCCACCCTCTCCCCTCCTCCCAGCTCCCTGGAGGCACATGGGGGCTTTCAGGATAGAAAACAAAGGAGGCCCAGGAAACAAGACAGGCAGCTTTAAGCTACTGAAGGGAGCAAAGAGGGGAAACATGGCCTCATTCCCCAAACTCTGAAAGCAGGAAGGAGTCCCAAGGGGTGAAGACAGGCTAGAGGGGAGCTTGGGCTGGGAGCAGACACAGGATCAGGAAGGACCCGGAGGCTGGACCACCCCTGACAGGTCCACGAGGAACTGCCACAGTCTGAGGACTACTCTGGCCTAGAGAGGGGCGTGTCAGGTCACACCACCCAGGCTCCTCAGTGCCCACGGCCAGAGGGCAGCACCACGCTCAGGAATGGGGAGATCCCAGCCTGCCCTCCCTGCTGACGGCTGCCCCCAACTCAGCAGGCAACACAGACACCTGAAGATGGACCCTGCCTTACCAGCACTGCAGCAGCTCACGTCACTTCCAGGGCCCCGCACAAGGACATCGGCCAAGGGGCTGCCTCTGTTGGCACCTCTGCCCTCCCTCCACGTTGTGGGCTGCAGTCCAGCACATTCGCCTGTCCCTTCCTCTGGAGGCCCCATCCTCTCTGTGTCCATGATGTGCTTCCTCGCCTGGACTCCTCCTATCCACCATCTCCTCCTCACCAGACCCTACTCACCCCTCAAGTCTCAGGCTAGAAATCTCTTCCAGACTCCCCTAGTCTGGGCAGGTTACTCCTCCCTCTGCTCTCCCACAGCATCATGTGTTTTCATTGTCATTGCCTAGATCCTGGGGAGTCCACGAGGCAGGACCCTCCTCTAGCTTTTCCCCTCCTCTCTCCCCAGGCCCTAGCACCAACACTGGCCTGTAGGTGCTCCAACAAACTGGACTGGGGAGGGCTGATGGCTTAGCTACCCACCCTATGGAACACCCCACCAGGTACTAGTGTGTCATGTGGCAGCACAGGGCCTCAGCTTGGGCTTTGTACCTAAAGGTGCTAGAAGGCAGGGGCGGTATCTCACAGAGTCACCAACGGAACAGAAGAGAAGACAACAGCAGAGGAGGGACAGCAACATGTTTTGGATGGAAGATGAGTAGAGTTTTAGTAACTGGTCCAGCAGAGAGGAGGAAGCCTCCCCTCAATGCCCGCAGAAGGCACACTTAAGAAGCTGGGCCATGGGACTTCCCTGATGGTCCAGTGGTTAAGACTTTACGTTCCAATGCAGGGGGTGGCGGGTTTGATCCCTGGTCGGGGAGCTAAGATCCCACATGCCTTGTGGCCAAAATAACAAAACATAAAAACAGAAGCAATATTGTAACAAATTCAATAAAGACTTTAAAAATGGTCCACATCAAAAAAAAAAATCTTAAAATAAAAAGAAGCCAGGCCACCACCCCCAGGGCACCAGCAAAGTTCAGGACTTGGAGGGACCAAGCACCCCAGGAACAAAGAGTTAATCACAGGGCTAAACACAGGGATTTGGTTGAAAATCTGTATTCAAAGCAGTAGAACCCCTCGGCCTTCCCCACACAGCTAGGTGACTCTTACCGCCCTCACCTGTATCCCCCAGACAATGGAAGTTTATCAACCTTCTGGAGAAACTGAATCCAAGTGACTCCAGACTTGGGAACACTAGCCTAGTGGAGAGTGGGAGCAGGTGAGGCTAAAAGCAGGGAAATTAATGAAAATCTGCAAAGTGAGTATTGGGACTCCAGCCTCCTTCCCCTACTTGGCTTCCAGAATGCAGACCAATGAGAAGTTACTGTATTTACAAAACAGGAAGAGGATCCTGTTAAAAAGAACCAAGAAAAGAAACAATCAAATAGCTCTCAGAAATTAAAATTATACTATCTGAAGTTAGAAATTCAATAGACATGTTGAATATAAACTCAAGGAAATTTCCTGTAAAGCCAAGCAGAGGGACAAAGTGAAGGAATAGGAGAGAAGAAAAGGAAAAGAAAATCTGAGTGTTAATCTAAGATGTTGAATATTTGACTAATAGGAATTCCAGAATGAGAAGAAATTATCAAAGAAACAGTATAAGAAAAGTTGCCAGAACTGAGAGATGGGAGTCTTCAGATTGAAAGAGGTCACCAGGAACCCAAAATAATGAATTTTAAAAGAGATGGCATTGTGGAAGTTTAGAAATAAACTGCATAGATAAAGAGAAGATCCTAAACATTCCCAAAGAGAGAAAACAGGTCACTTGCAAAGAATCAGGAATACAATAGCATTGGCTTTTTCAACAGCTAGACCCGAAGCCAGAAGAGCAATGTCTTCAAAATTCTGAAGGAATATGGTTATCAACCTAAAAATTGGAATTTTCTCCTCAGCCAAACTGTCAGTTAAAGCTGAGTGCAGAATTACAATTACAAATTACCTTCTTTTCAGATCTAAAAGGATTCAAAATTTTCTTCCCATTTGCCTTTTTTTCAGGAAGCCACCAGAAGAGGTGTTCCACCAAAATGAAGGTGTATACCAAGAGGAAGGCCTGGAGGGACGTGGTCTCCAGAAATGAAAGTTTCAGAGAAAAATAATGGAACCGAAGGACAGGAGTCTTCAGATTGAAAGGAGGCACTGAAAATATCAAAAGGCTGCTACAGGGTGCAGTAAGAATTTGAGATGGTACAAGGAAAACTATGTTAATGAGAAAAAATGAGGCAATTATTAAATCCAGGTAAAACGTAAAGTCGAAAAGGAGAGGAAACATAATCATGTACAACAAAGTTGTAATATTATTCATATAATTGTAATAATGTGAATATTGAATATCCATAAACCCCAAAACTATGATAACTATTTGGGGAGGGTGATGAGGGTAGGGGAGAGAAATGTGTTTATGGGAGTGAATAATAAGAGAGCTGAATCCTCAACTACCGTAATAGATAATACAAAAGAACTACTTGAGAAATAGCAGTATAGATAAGCATGTTAGTTTGAAATATAGGTTTCTAACTGAAGAAACAGCTAACAGTATTTGCTTCTGGGGAATAGAAATGGGAATTGAGGAGGGATGGGGCAACATACTATTTTTCCTTACAAGTGTTTTAGTACTAGTTGACTTTTTGAACTATGCACATAGATTACTTTGAAAAAAACTGTGAAATTAATTTTTAATAAATTTTAAAATAAAGCTTATGAACGAAAAGAAAAACTTCAGCACATCAACCATCTGTCTCTACAGTCACTAGAGCTCTAGAGCTGCGCTCTAAACTACATCTCCCTACCCTTCCCCCAAACTAAACAAAACCATCAACCTTTCAATTAGTTCTAATTCAAGTTCCTACAGGATATAAAAAAATGAAATTGGGCTTCCCTGGTGGCTCAGTGGTTGGGAGTCCACCTGCCGATGCAGGGGACATGGGTTCAAGCCCTGGTCCGGGAAGATCCCACGTGCCGTGGAGCAGCTAAGCCTGTGCACCACAACTACTGAGCCCGCGTGCCTGGAGTCCATGCTCTGCAACAAGAGAAGCCACCGCAATGAGAGGCCAGTGCACCGCAGCAAAGAGTAGGCCCCGCTCGCCACAACTAGATAAAGCCTGTGTGCAGCAAGGAAGATGCAATGCAGCCAAAAATAAATAAATAAAATAAATTTTTTTAAAAAATGAAATTACAGTGTTCTAGCCTCATCCCCACCATCCTCCCCCATATTTCCCACCCTCAATCTGAACTTTTGGGTAGTGGTATGCTGGTAAATGTTTAATACTTGATTCTTTGAGAAAAAAGTCCTGATTTATAGTATTTGCCAATTTCCATGGTGTAAATTCTCCTATTGTGGATGATTTCAAGCCATCACTATGATGTCACTGAATGTGGAATTGGGAAAAGATGCACACGTTAGCTCCAGCAAACTACTGCCTTAGGCCTCTCTAGCCTTATCAGCCTCCCTACCAGACCCAGGTTACAGGAGAGACTTGAATATCCCTTCCAAAAAGCCAGAAGTCCCCAAGGGATGTAGCAGCAGTAGAAGTGGATTCTGAAGGGAAGAGAAGTGGTTCTGGCTGCAGGGAGGGGGTGGTGAATTTGCCACCTTCCTTTCCCTCCCCACCTCTAGCAGAGTTACCTGCTCATTAGTAACCCCCGGATGCAGGGTCCCATGCTTGTAGTCTTCCAGCAGCTGCACAGCCTCTCTGAGACGTCTCTGCAGGCAAAGAAAAGGGACATTGAGGGACACACATCCAGGGCTCCGGCAACCCTCTCCTTGAAGGGGTGCATCAGTACTGATCAAGCGCTGACTATATTTACAGTGTACAAGGTCTGCCCTCCAGTTCATGGGACTCATGCAAAACATTAAAGAAGGCTACAGCCTAAATGTCCTTTCATAGGGAAATGGCTAAATGGCAGTGGCATAATAATACTATGGAACATTATTCAGCAGTTTAAAAGTAAAGTAGACCTACATGGCCATATCTCCAAGATATTTTTTTAAGTGAGAAAGCAAGTTGCAGAGCTGTATGATGCCGTTCGTTGTACCAAACAAACAAAACACACACACACAGAAAATAATATTTCCTATGAGAGTATTTATGTGAGAAGACGCATCAAAAATGCTCTAGAAGGAGACCCACCAAACTGGTGACAGGGGTTACCTCGGGGTAGGAGGAAAGGGCTCAAACTTGGCAGGCGGTGTAGGGAGGAACTTGAATCTTAATTGTAATATTGAATGTTTTTATAAAGAGAACATATTTATGAAATACTTATATAATTTCTTCCCAACATTTAAAAAACACTAGCAGAGATTTACATACTAAAATACATATGGCCACAGTAACTGATGGGGAAAGAAAAAAATAAAAGGATAGAATTGTTATGATTTTTAAAACCTTAAAAGCTAAAGAGACAGCAACAGTGAGAGAAGGTAGCCCTTATCCACCGAAAGACTTGTATAAGAATATTCATAGTGACACTCTTCAAACAGCCCCAAACTGCAAACCATTCAAATGTCAGTAATAGATTAGATAAGTAAACTGTGGTATATGCACACAATGAAATATTATACCTCATTTAAAAAAGCAAACTACAAATATATGTTATAATGTGGATGAATCTTCCCCAGATTGGCACCCCAATATCTCTCATCCCCCATGTTCTTCTAGAACTTTCCCACATGCCCCATCCAGAGGTACAGTCTATGTCCCCTCCCCTTGATCCTGAGCAGGCCTTTATGACTGCCTCAACAATAGAGTATAGCCAAGGTGAGGCTATGTGACCTCTGAGGCTAGGTATGCAAGGCTAAAAATGCACTAAAGTGCAGGGGACATGTAGTTGTGGGCTCAGTAGTTGTGGGCTCAGTAGTTGTGGTGCACAGGCTTAGCTGCTCCACGGCACGTGGGATCTTCCCGGACCAGGGCTTGAACCCATGTCCCCTGAGGCTAGGTATGCAAGGCTAAAAGTGCACTAAAAATGCACTTCCACCTTGTTCTCTTGGGATGCTCACTCTCTTGGAACTCTCTTGGAACCATCATAGTGTAAGGACGCCCAAGCAGGCTACTGAGAGACCCATGTGGATAAGAACTGAGGGCCTGGGGCTCCAGTTAAGCCACCAGCTAATGGTCAGCACCAACTTGCCTGCCATGAAAGTGAGCCATCTTGAAATGGACCTTCCCCAGTCAAGCTGCCCTAGCCGAAGCTGCATGGAGCAGAGAAAAACCATCCCCTCTAAGCCCTGCCCAAACGAAGATCAGTGAGCAAAAGAATTGCTTTTTGTTGTTTCAAGCCACTAAATTTTGGGGTGATTTGCTACATAATAATAGAAGGCTGATTCACATAATGATAAGCAAAAGAAGGCAAACACAGAAAAGTATATATAAAATTCATGGGACTTCCCTGGTGGTCCAGTGGGTAAGACTCCACGCTCCCAGTGCAGGGGGCCAGGGTTCGATCCCTGGTTGGTGAACTAGATCCCACACGCATGCCACAACGCAACTAAAGATCCTGCATGCTGCAACTAAACATGCCACTATGAAGATCCCACGTGCCGCAACTAAGACCCAGAGCAGCCTAAATAAATAAAGTATATATAAAATTCAAAAACAGGCAAAATGCACCTATGGTGGTAGAGGTCATTACAGTGTTACCTTGGGGCAGGGCCGGGGGGTGGTGGTACTGACTTGGAAAGGGCATGAGGGAACCCTCTGGAATAATGGAAATGTTCAATGTCTTGATCTGACTGGTGGTTACATGGTATAAACATATGTCAAAATCCATTAGGCCATACACTTAAGATTTGTGCATTTTCCTGTATGTATGTTATACCTCAAAAAATCAACAATAAACAGTGACAACAGTGAGAGAAGGCAGCCTATGTCAAGGTCAGATGAGGAACCCAGGCAACAGGGATGCTCATCGTGGGGAAAGAAACCCAGGGAAGCCACCATGTTCCCCTTTGACCAAGGGACAAACCTGGCTAAGGACGGGAGTACAGAGAGACCTCAACAGAAGCCCCTGGTCTAAAGGCAGCATGCATCCCCAGGGAGGGCACCCCGTGCGGCATTTGCTGAGCAGGCTGACAGTGGTCACATAGGATGGGAAATGAACAGCCACCTCCTGTACTGAAACAGCAGGACTAACTGCCAGCCCAGACAAGCCAGCCGGGCTGTCAGGGGGCCAGGAAAATGTCTCACTTGGGTGTAGCCTGACTGCTAGAAAGCACTGCCTCTCCCCTTTCAAATATATGCATCTCAATCCCTGAATTCCAGAGTCCTTTCCCAGAATCTGTTTGTTTCCAAAGTACAGATAGCTTTGTGTTTTTTGTTTTTGTTTTGCCAGTTATACTAGTAATCCATGCTGTTTAGAGAAAATGGCAGAAAAATTGAAAGCACACAAAAAATGTTTAATCACCTGTAAACATACCACTTGCAAAGTGATGATTTTCCTTCTAGACTTAATACATTTGTTTTTCATGTTGATTGTTGGTTTTAACTTGCTTAAGGTCACACAGAAAGTGAGCGGTTTAGTATTTCGAGCCCAGAGTTTAGTCAGACCCTTGCTGTCCCTGCAACCCCCCAAAACTTCCTAGTGATGCGGCCAGCTCCCCACCCCAAGCCTGCTTCCTCCCAGCCTCAGCCTCTGCCCCGACAATGAATGCTCTACTTTCCACCCTGAATGGTGAATGGCCCCGCTTTCTCATTATTTTCCCACTCCAGGGATTCTCCTGAGTTCCTCTAAGAACCTGGCCAGATTCCATCTCATTTGACATGGTCATCAAAGGGAGGCCTCTTGTCTCAGGGGTAAGTTCCAAAGAGCCCTGATCTTGGCATGCACTGAGAAAGAACCAAATCCAAAGTTTCTCAGGACAAGTCTGCGAATGCAGGACTGGGGAAAGCTAGAACGTGCTTTTCTGCCTCTGGGCCTTGCTAAGCCTCAGCTTGGCCCCCCAGGTCAGAGGCTGAGGGGTCAGGGCTCCTGGCACCTCTGTGGGACAGGCAAGGCCCCAGGCCACTTGTCTTGAGAGGTCCCTGAGGGCTGGCTGTCCTGGGAGCTGGACTCCTCACAGCAGAGAAGGGGATGGTTTTCAGGGAGACTTGAGGGATAGGTTTGCTTTAAACCCTCCTCCCACCCCAGTGCATTGTGACGCTTGAGAGGGATGGGGAAAGCTGGGGGTCAATGGCAGGGTGAACTCTGTAGGAGGTCTTTTCAACCAGGAACAAACAGGCAGCTAGGCCCTCAATGCAAAGATGGTGAGGGGCCCAGCTGGCTTGGAGACAAGGCTGCAGGCCCTTCTCTGGAGCCCTGGGCTGGGGGAGGGACGGCCCAATGTTGCTTCCCAGACTCCATCACCAGACTGCCAGAAAGTGTCACAGCATGTGTATTTGATGGGGCATGGTGTCCGGAAACTCCCTCAGGAAACAGGCACCTGGGAGGTCTGTTTCAGGGCAGAGAATTCGAACAGAGGTCCCACCCCAAGGCCCTGAGGGGAAGAAGGAAGCAAAAGGGCAGGCATGGAGTGTTAGGGTGGTAGCAGAGAGGCAGGAGACCCTACCGGACAGGAATGGGGATGGTGGGACACAGGGAGGAAAGGCACAAAAAAGAAAGATGAGGAAAGTCATCAGAAGCAAAGCTAATCTTTTTTTGAGGGAAGGGGGTACCCTGTAGCCCATGCCCAAGCTAAATGCAGACTGAGTATAATCCATGCTTGTCTAGGGAGGATGTCAAAATGATTTAAATATTTATTATAATATTTAATATGTTAAAATATAGGATGGGAGTGACAGCACCTGGTCAGGACGTGAGGAACACCCAGAAACATTTCACCCCCACTTCTGATAAAGGACCCACCCACTCCCCAGGTGGTACCTGCAGGTTCCCACCTCCTGATCTTGCCCACACTGTTCCCACCACCACCCATCCCCATCCCCAACCATCCTTCAAGGCTCAGGGCCATCTTCTCCAGGAATCTTCCAGAAATGTTCTCTCCGTCCTCTGAACAGCCAGAGAGCATTTGGTGTGTACCTCTCTGAGGTCCCCGACCACTTACCAGCATGTGCCCATGTTATCTGTCAGAGACTGCAAGGTGCAGGGAGCAAGGGACTGGTTTTAGGTATCTTTGCAGAACTGCAGGACACACCTACCCCAGCCCATCACCAACACAGGGCCACACATAATGAGCATTTAACAAAAATGAATGACTGAGACTGCTGGCGGGGAGAAGTGAAGGGTATGGTCAGGGTTAGGGATCCAGGTTCCAAAGCAGCAGGCCAGAGTCCCTCAATGATGATGCTGGTTTTACAGAATCCTGGGATTCCAAGAGGCCATGCATGCCCAGTTCACACAGGATGTGAATGAGAATACCCCAGTGTGTGAATATTACAGAACCACGTAGGCATTCCTTTCTCTGAGACATTTGGGGCCCGAGCGGGAAGGGCATTTTGGCACCCAGGGTCACAGAGTGGGTGGGGTGGCACCTAGGAACACCAAGTCCCCTCAATCCCAGTTCTGGGCCATTTCTATGAGACATGAACACAGAAGAGCCTCCTGTCCTCATGACAGTCAGTAACTGAGAGGGGTGGTCTCCCACAGAAACCACAGCAACGCCTGCATCCTGAAAAGCTGATGCCTACTGGGGCCAGGCACCCCAGATAAGAAAGGGAAGGAGAAATTGCACACAGAGAAATTGCAGAGCATGTTTAGCGAAAGTGGTGC